GAGGGCATGACACATTCACACCTACGGACAATTTAGAATCACCAATTAACCTCAACATGTTTCTGGACTGTGGGAGGAAGCCGGAGAACCCGGAAAGAACCCACGCTGCACGGGGAGAACATGGAGACTCCACGCAGAAAGATCCCAGGTGTCCTCACCGGGACGCGAACAGGCGACCTTCTCGCTGTGAGGCAACGATGCTAACCACTGAGCTGCCCTGCAGCCCCATTTTTCAACATGAATCATTTTATCTATGATACTTGGAGTAAATTCTCCTGGTTATATTAATTTACCGACACAATATTTTAAATGCAGAAGTTTCTGATGTCACCTACTGTGTTATTTAACAGTGTGGAATCAATACTTTTACCTACGAGCAGTGGAAGTATTGCTTGAATTGAGAATGAGTTTAATTTTGAACCAAGTCAAATGTCTTCCAGATGCAACAGGGTCAAGGTTCTTCCATCCTTAAGTGATCATATGAAGGTTTCAACAGTAGAAAAAAATGGGAAAAGATCACATCAATTGATTATTTTTAAATGGAAACATCGTATTTACAGGTCTTCATGTTCACCTTGTTGACCCGGCAGATTTAATACTTGTAAGAACTAATTTGTCCACTTGGGGGCAGCAAACAGACTGTGAAGCTCATATAGTATACAGTGTTAATACAACAGCACTCAACACTTTCCTGTGGCCATGGTATGAAACTGCTTTTAGTATGTTTGTGTCATTTATCAGAGCTTTCACAACACAACACTTTAATTCAAAAATAAGACTCCACACACATCACATCAGTGGTCATGTGCAAGAAATATATTGTCAGCTTTATTAATTAACCAGTCAGGAGGTTTGGTGATCCCTCTTAATTATACACTGTTGTTGCTTCCCTTTAATAATTATTATTATTTGGTAAATCAGTTTTGGAACCTGTTATTCATCTTATCTATTTTGTATTTATCAATCTTTTAAATTAGTTAGATTCTTCTTTTTGTATTATTTGGCTTTTGCTCATGGCTAAAATTTGTCATCCATCACTTTCTTTAATTTTCACACTTTACCTCTGACTGTCAGCCTGAGTCTTGTTTCCTCAGGTGTTTATCCAGACAGAGTAATTGTTTATATTGTTTATTTTATTTTACACTTTGTTGTTAATATTACTGTGTGATTTACAATTGGCTACATGATTTAACTATGCAATCATCACCTATACAGCTTCCAGGAAAAGTTTGTTACTTTCCTTTATTGTACATATCCTCTATTTGTTTTGCTTTAACAATTCTATGCAGAACTGTAAAAACTTAAATTAAGACTCAATACTGCTTATTTCCCCTCATCTCTCCTGGTTAAATGCTTAAAACGGGGTGTGTATGAGTGTTTTCTGACTTCGTCCTCGTATGCTGAGGGCCGCTGCTGTCTATGAAGGGGGTCCCCAAATAGTGGGTGTCCCAAAACTAGTGTGTACATGTAAGCACGTCTTCCTGCAAAACGGGGTCCTAGTGTGTCAGTATGCGACTGTGTGACTGAATGATTTAAATCATGTTTTATATGCTCAGTACTATATATTATCACACTCTGATGTGTCAGTGGCTAGAAACAACATTGATACTGATGCATTATTTCTCTGAACAGGATAACATTACAGAATCTCACGTCTTAATTTTTAGGCCACGTAAACAACTGTTTATAACTTAAACGATGGGGAATGCTTCAAAAGAAGAATAATATGAGGATCAAAAACAGCAGTTTTACTTGTTTTAAGTACAGACATTGTTTTTTCTGTACACAGTGTATTTTAGATGGGAGCAGGGACAGATCTTTACCACATTTTATTCCATATGCATTAGCACAGCCAAAATGAGAAAAAGGAAATCTATGAAAAACCTAAAAATGCCCCCATGATTAAATGAAGGTTAAGATTTAAAGTATGGAAGTCTCACAGTTTGTCTTTAAATGCTAAAGGTTAGAATTTCACAAAATGTCTTTATTTTGTTTTAACTACAAAATTAAACAAGTCAACAGTATATTTAAAACCATTGCGTTAAAATATTTACTCAGACATTATGTGTAAAAAGTGAAACAGTAGAAAAGTAATGGAATGATGAATTATCACAGTTGATCAATACTTCGCAGAGTCGTGCAGTAAGTTTAGTTTTATTATTCACTGTATTCCCTTTATAAGCTCATTGATTAATTCAGTTTTATAAAAACATCAATCACAGAAAAAGCAGAAATTAAACAGCATATTTATCATTTTTCTAAATTAGGACAGTAGATTGCAAAAAACCATTTGACATAACACAGCAGGACTGCTGCCCAGCTGTGTTTTTGAACTTTTCTCTATACAGAACACACAGTGATGAAACTAATATCCTTCTTATCTGAGTTATGAATCTCAAAATATCCCTTTAATTTCTCAAACAATTTCAGGACAACACATAAATTATGCAAATAAGTATGCACATAAAAGCAGATCTTGACACATACGACACCTTAACTGCAGGTTCACACAGCATCAACAGATCACACTTGTACTTCAAACATTGCACAGACTGGTACATGGAGGCTGGAAGCAGTTTGTTATTTAGATGTTCAGTCTGAATCAAGTTAACTCAAATGGCAGTCTATGAGTGATTGTTTTTCTGTGAACTTTGGGAAGATTGTTTCATAATCTGGAATTTTCTTCAAGAGCTCCATGACTTGTTTACGGTCCTTGGAGTTGTTTTTGAATACATGGCAGCGATTTCCACATTCTTTCACAATGTGCTTGAGGTGAGACCGTTCATCAATGAAACTCTGAACATTGTCTTTTGCATTCTCTCCATGTGTCAGCAGGACGATTGTGTTCTCCCTGATCCTGCAGCCAAGCTTCTTCTCCAGCCTCTCTAGTATTCCCTTCTCACCTTCTGTAAACCGGCCCATCTGTATCACCAGTAACACCACATAGTGCCCTGGCTGACAGTACTTCTTACACTCCTCTACTTCTCTCTGATCATTTATTTCATCATTCAAGAAATCTGGGGTGTCGACCACTATAACCCGCCTGCCATAAAGACTACGTATCATTTGGGACTGACACTTGGTGGTGACTGGTGTGGAGCTCGGCTGGGATTCAAAAAGCTGCTTTGGTTCCAGATGGGGGTCCATAGCAGTCAGGATGGTGTTTCCAGATGCACTCTTTCCAGTCCCAGTCAGTCCCAGCAGAACAATGTTGAAGGCATCTCCTGACATTAAACCGTTGCTCTCATCTGAAAGAAGCAGTTTGTCATAATTTCCAGTTATTTCATCAACAGTTACCAACAGTTTCTGAAGGTGGCATCAGCTTTGAAAGCAATTATGAAACTCTTAGATATATTACTTTATTTTACCTCTGAATTTCTTAATTAGCAAAGGGATACTGCAAAATTAACATAATCATAGTTTCTATCTTTTTAGAATTGGTTATATGTGTTTTATCTTCTGAAGCATATCAACAGTTTGTTCAGGTTCTGTTTCTGCATGTGCATTGCTGGTACTTTGCAAGTTTGCTGGACCTGAGGAGAAGTGCAACATGCACATATTTTACAACAAAAACACACATCTGTGCATTACAGAGGACAAACACTGAAGTATGCAGACCTTTGAAAATTTTAGAGAGAATGTATTTTAAGCAGCAATGTCTGGCAGTCTGAGTTAAGCCTAAATGTGAGGAGTTACTGTCATTGTGCATCATGAATAACACAATAGTGACGTTCTACAAAACAAGTACAAAATGATGAAACATTTTAGGTGTTACTCACATGATGAAGCAGCGTGAGGACCTGCAGGATTGAAATGTAAATGACACAGGTATCAGCAAATATAACTACAACATGAGTTATTGTTCATAAAAACAACAACAATGATCCAATACTTGTGACATTTTATGTCACAGTTAACCAAAGAGGTCCAGTTAACTTCTACTAAAGTATTTACAATTACTGTGACTTGGATTACTGTGAACCTACACAGACATGTCTCTTCTCCACTATCTTAACTTTAGACGTTTAAGTCAGTCAATTAAAAACCATTTGTATTGTAGCAGAAAAGCTTATACCTCTAACTTAACATTTTTTCTTAATTAAACTGAATTTCATTAGAAACTGTCATAATGCAAAAAGACTGATGCAAACTGTTGTGTTAAATTTATTTGTTGAGCCCAAACATTATGTGGATTAAATTAGTGCCGAAGTGTAATTTTTTGATGTAGTTTTAATTCCTTTTATTATTATATCACAAAATATATTCCCTGATGATAATATTAAAAATACTTTCTACCCAACATATGTGTAGAACATAGACTCACCTGATCTCTCATGGTTATACGGAGGAGGGTGTTCGTTTCTGAAACAATAATCATAATATAGATTACAACAAATTTATACCTAACAAAATATCACATATGCATCTGTTGACAGTGTAAATCCTGCCCTCTTTTGGAGCTAGCTCGTGTTTTCAGTGGATTTTCTCAGCAAAAGGAAATTTCTGGAAAGATAAATCATGGTACTGCTTTATTTTGCAGTAAACTAAACTGGTATCTATTGCTGTATTGATTATTGACTGGATTGTTATTAGGACAAAACTACACCTGAAAGAGGACATCTGGTAGCTCGGCGGGTTGGGTGGGCGACCCCCATACAGGGGCTGAAAGTCCCCGACGCAGCCTCCACGGTTTGAGTCCGGCCAGTGGTTGATTTGCTGCATGTCCGCCCTCGACTCTTCTCCCCACGTTTCCTGTCTCCCTCTCCTCTGTCCACTATAATAAAGGCAAAAAGGCTGAAAAAATATAAAAAAAAAACCAAAAAAACACAACAAAACAAAACACTACACCTGAAATGTTCATCCTCTCATGACACAGACAATTGCAATATGCAATGATGAAGACAAACCTATGACTGGATATAACTCATGTATCTATGTAAGGAAAGAACAGGATGTGGTGTATTAATATCAACAAATGAACCCTCTTCAGAAATTTGCCCATGTTGCTCTGGAAGTACGTGTTGGAGAAAATACCTGTTCAGTCTGGATCACTGAGGTTTTGGAGGAGAGCTTGTGGTCAACTTGTGCATCTTCTGAATTATTTAATATGGGGACCTAACAGATCTGATGAACTCAAAGACATTTGCTCTTTTCTACAACAATAGATTACATTATAACAACCCCCTCAATTAGTCTCCCATTGTTGTTGTTCCTCTGGGTATCAGTGACCATCGACCCATAAGTTGTGTCAGAAATACTAGAAGAACTACATCCTTTCCTGACACAACTCCACAGAAACCCACCGTTAGAAAATACTCAGAGGAACACAAGCTTCATAACATGAGACTTACTGTCCACATCAATTACACATAATAAATGTTGATGTCTTTACCTTGTCCTTTTCAAATCTTCTCTCCTTCTTTTTACGACTCCTTCACTGTAGTCTCTGTTGTCATACTGGAATACCGGACGGGTTTTACACCACTTCATACAGTCATGGACCAGATCTTCACTGAGGGTTCCCAGCTTGATGTTGAACGTTTCCTTCAGCTGATCGAGTGACGTGTTGCTCATATACTTATCAAACATGACAACTAAGTGTTTTGTGATAGTTTGTCCAAAGATATCTTGAAGTTTACCAATTTGAGAACCAATTTTTTCCACCTGAACATTTTCTGAATCTATTGCCAGTATGAACAGATGAAGGCCAGAATAAAAATGTGCCATGAAGTCAATCACCTGCTGGTCTGGATACAGACAGTCCTCATCAAAGAAATCACGATTACTGATGATTCTGAATGAGCGGCTCTCTAGAACAACAAAGTTATTTTGTCTTGTGACAAAACCACTGTCATTACTGAGGATGAGACGTCGAATCTTGTTGTTAAACTCAGGGTTCTCCCCAATCAGAGCGATGGTGAACTTCTCAGGATTTTCTGTTGAAACAATAGTGTTATATAACTTTTAGTATTCTATAAAATGTGGTTGCAATGTCCCCTGCCACTGATCACCTTTTGTTTTTTAATTCTAATGCACAGGTCTCAGTCTAGTTTATAGATAGATAACCATGAACACATGTCCACTCTGTATCAGTGACGTGCGGTCAGGGGAGGCCTGATAAAATAACTTAACTGATTATATTTATCCAGTGATTTGTAGTATGAAGTTTTTTTTTTTTCATTTAGCCTCACCAATTTTGACGATTTTTAAATTGAAAAATCCCATTCAAATGCTTGGAAGAGAAGCCGGTGAGACAGCAGCGAGCTCAGCCTCACTTTGATTGCGCAATCCCTCGCTACCTACGCTGGCTGCCTGCAGTGACAGCGTGCTACTGTCTGGATGTCGCCAATAACATGGTTCAAACACATTTAATATATTAACTGATTTTCCATAGTTCAGCTGATGTATATAAAAATGTACAGTGTTTTTGTTACCAACTATATGTGTGTAACGTGTTTCGTGTGCTGAGCGATATTAAACGGCTGAGAAGAGGTTCTAGGTGAGGCAGGTTGAGTTAATCAAGAACACAGAGTAACGAACACATTGATGTAGCTGCATGTCACAATATTACTAAACAAAGCACTTAGAATACTTATAACATGAAAAACTTGATCACACTCAAAAAAGAAGTTGCACAAAAATACAGTTTCCTCCTAAATATTAATATTAAGGTTGAATATCAAAACTAATGTTGTGACTAATCTGTTTCTGACTAACTTCTCCTGGAGTCCTGAACCCAAGGCTAAGAAAGTCCCAACACAAGATTTCAAGAAGAATTTTAATTTGTGATTTTTCAATATTAAACACAGTCTGTCATCTTTACAGAATGTTTAGTGCTGTAGTAGATCATAGATGTAGCAGGCCTTGGTAAGGAGGAAAAAACTCAGTAAATCAGAGTCACTTACGTGAAGGTTTGGTAGAACTCATCTCGTCAGCTGCCTGAAGACCAACAAACAGTGTGCAGGTGTCACAAGAGTCTCTGAATCAGCTTTGATCAGACGGACTCTGACTGAAATACTCTGAGAGATTGGATCCACCCTGTGGGTGGAGCGCTGAAAACTGCTTCATGCCAAAACAGTGGAGAGCTGTGCTTCTGTTCATTCTCCAGAAATCAAGAGCAGAGATGGGAAACAAACCCTCAATCCCCGATGGTGAGGCAGGATCTTTTATGTAGACTCTCTGTTCTCTTTATACTCTTATAGTCAGCATTCAGTAACTATCACACCAGACTTTATGATTGATTTTATTTCCATCCAAGAACTTCATCAGGTCTAAACAGAGTGTGTGTCTTTCTGCAGGTCGTCCTCTGAGGATTGTGCTGATTGGGAAAACTGGTGTTGGGAAGAGTGCCGTTGGTAACACCATCTTGGGAAAAAATCAAGAAATTTTTAAGTCTGATGTGAGTGCAGAGTCGGTGACGGAGACCTGTGAGATAGAAAGAGTTGAATGTTCCAGAAAGATCCATGTGGTCGACACTCCTGGAATTCTGGATACGTCTAAAAGTGCAGAACACATAAAGAAAGAGATCGCAAAATGCATCCAGATGACCTCTCCAGGCCCTCACGTCTTCCTGCTGGTCCTTCAGATCGGCAGGTTCACCAAAGAAGAACAAAACTGTGTTCAGGCCCTGGAGAAGATGTTTGGACCGAAGGCATCGAACTACATGATCGTCTTGTTCACTCATGGCGACAAGCTGAGTCAGCAGGGCATAAGCATACATGAATATCTGCGAACCGGCCATGAGAAACTCAGAGAGGTGCTGAACAGGTGTGGCAACAGGTGTCACGTCTTCAACAACATGAACAAGGACAGAACTCAAGTGGTGGAGCTGATCCAGAAGATTGACGAGATGGTGGCAGCAAACGGAGGATCGTACTACAGCGACAAAATGTTTGAAGAGGCCAAGAAGATTCTGCAGCAGAGTGAAGACAAAGACACAGCAGAGCCACTGTTTCACAACTTATCCTTCATGGCTGAGCTGCTGGAAAGGATACTCCTGTTTCAAGCCATACTGGCTGCTGTGTCATTGGATGATGATGACAAGAACCCATGATCCTTCATATAACTCCATGATGTGGCCTTAATCTGATGTAAATAATCTTAATTTCTTTAGTACAGTCACAGTGGATTCAGACACAAACATCATTATCACTTCTCAATCAATAAGATATGTTTTATGATAATTATTAAATCATTTATGTCGTTTACAATCTATAGACATAATTTTGAGATTGTGTGAGGTAAAGAGTTAAAGCATTAAAATTCTGTTGTTGTAATTGTTTTTTTTTTTTCTTCTTTTTTTCTTTTGGTGTCAGTGCCTAATGGCAGATTCAGTTTTCATAGAGTGAAGAACAGGGTGTGGGTGGATGCCACCCTGAATCTTGATCTTCAAGCTTTTTCTAAAGTCAAACACAACAAAAATCATCAGAAACTGTTGTTTTTTGGAGTCTGTACGTGTCCAAAATGTTCTTTTTTCTCCTTTAATAAAGCTGAGGCATGCTTGGTAACTTAAGGTCTGAGTTTTCTGTTTCACACAGGCCATGTAATAATTATGCACACAATTTATTACACTTCACAAAAATACAAAAAATATGTTTTAAACGTGTTTTGATTTGTGTTGCAAACATGGTGGTGTTTTCATTTTTGCACCATCAAGACATACATCTTTTACTGACCATAGGTCTGTTCTACGAAGCAAGGTTATGTTTAGAGTTTCGGATTTAATTTGGCTGTAAGAAGCGTCTCCGCTTAACCAAATAGTGTCCTAACTATCATTTTTGAGCGACACAGATTCTCAGCTGAGGAAATGTGTTCTGCTAATATGCTGAGTTGTGCGTTACTAATATCACTGAATGAAGCCGTGGAGTTACAGTATCACACATTGGAAATATCGTATTGCCATGGGAACCAGACATGTATTTGACAAAGAAAGTTGATAACACCTTCGTGATACCCGTTATCTCTGACTTTAGATTTTGTCGAGCCGACTGACACAAAGAAAGCCTGAATATGTCAAACTTGCTTCGTAGGACAGCCCTCAGTTGTTGTATATAAAATGAGATGAAGCATTGATCAGCTGTGAATGTGATGTGATTCTGGTCTCTGCAATTATCCACATTCTTGTTTAGTTGTACATTTTAATACTTTACAATCATAACCCTTCCCTTGCAATTAGTGAAACAATTTAATTTCATAAACATCTTTCTGAACCTTTACATGAACTTCATATTGATCATTTTCACCTTCATAAACTGGAAAAATCCTGAAAAAGGAGGACTTTTCTGGGGTTTGGCTGGTCGACTATGAGCTGTTGTGTTTAAATTTGATTTGTTTCTCTTCATGGTGTTGATGAATAAACACACAAAATGACTGCCAGTGTTGTTTCAGACATATGTTCATATGAAATTGAAATCAGATTTTATTTAGTGTTTGCAGGGCAGCATTTTAATCCAAGGAAGCCATTACAGAAGAGCCAGCTGGGTGGACGAGGCAGCAGATTGAACAGAGACTTGTTACAGCTCCTGAGACCCCAAGACAGCTGCATGAAGCACATCTGTCACTGTGGGGAAGGAAAGCTGGACAGGGTTGGACCAGGATTTCTTCATTGGCGATTTAGATGAGTGGGTCTGGAGCAGTGCAGCTTGTTCTTGAGTGGAAAACCTCTGAAAGTAGAGTTAAGTTTAGGGGTCACAAGGTCAGACTGTGGTTGTACCAGAAAGTCTTTCATCTGATAATTCAGTGAAGGTGACCAGACGATTGTTTGTTGTTTGATGATGACAATCTGCAGAGAAACATTTATTATCTTGATCATTTTCAGGAGAGCAGGAAACTATTCCATCTATTGTTATGTTGATTAAGGGAGCATGCTCCACTGACCATCGATGGCTCCACTGTGGAGATCGTGCAGAGCACCAAATTCCTTGGTGTCCACCTGGCGGAATCCCTCACTTGGTCCCTCCACACCAGCTCCATAGCAAAGAAAGCCCAGCAGCACCTCTACTTCCTGTGGAGGCTGAGGAAAGCCCACCTCCCACACTGACAGTATTCTACAGAGGGACTATTGAGAGCATCCTGAGCAGCTGCATCACTACCTGGTTTGGAAACTGCACTGTCTCAGACCACAAGGTCCTCCAGAGGGTGGTGAGAACAGAAAAAATCATTGGAGTGTCTCTCCCCTCCATCAAGGACATCTACACCACACGCTGCACCCGAAAAGCCACCAGCATTGTGAAGGACCCCACACACCCTTCACACAAACCTTTTACACTCCTGCCGTCCGGCAGAAGGTTCAGAAGCATGCGGGCCCGCACGGCCTGACTGTGCAACAGCTTCATCCCTCAAGCCATAAGACTGTTAAACATTCAAGGACTGGACTAACACATGAACACACACACACACACACTACCTCCATTGTGTTGTACTGTCCGTGTTGTGTTGTAATGTTTTGTTTGCCGTGTTTAAATTGTACTGTTGCACTACCTTTTTAAATTGCACTACTGTTTCCATATCTGTACTTATATTTTTTACCCTATCCTATTTTTATTTTATTTTATTATATTTTTTGTCTTATTTTACGTTTATTTATCACATCTGTTAAACTGCATTCTTTGCACTATTACCTTAGCTCTGGATCTGGAAAACGCTTCTCATTTTACTGTGTAGTGTACATCTGTATGTGGTTGAAATGACAATAAAGCTCTTTGAATCTTTTGAATCTTTTTTGAATCTTTGATCTGTTTTCTTGACATGACAGGAATGTGAACACACCTCAGAGTTATCAACATTTTTCAGAATAAGATTTTATTTCCTGCTTGACTAATCAGTACAAACACAGACTGACTCTGCCAGTAACACATGAGACAGATATGATGTATAATATGAGTATAACATGAAGAATGTTCATGTGTACCAACATAAGCAGTAAATACGAGGTGCTCTAGCTGGACAGTCTGTGTGACTGATATCTTAACAGCATCGTCTCCAGGCTGTTCACAGACGTCCTTCAAACTCCTTCATGTCAATTGTACACTGATGGTCACTCCATGTTCACAGGATGAACCTGCTCTGACTTGAAAATGAAATCTGTCAACAACAAACAGAAACAGTTTCAGCTCATTACCAGGTACAACGTCTGCATGAACAGTGAGGGAAGGCTGCACAGATGCTGCCTCAGAATGTGAGCATTGAGTAAAGGACAGTTACTTGTGTTCAGCCACCAGTGAAGCTCTGATGTTCAAGTTAAAGATGGAATGATTTGTGGGGTTATTTATTATTATATTTTTATTTAACATATATATAATCAATGGGTATTTAAAATGGTGTCTGTGATATTATAGATTGATGTATCAAGTACTTTCTGAGATAATTTCTTCTAAAACATTCCCATTGACCCACTTTCAGCAGGTTTTTTCTGTTGTTTGAACATCTGAGGAACTATTAAAAATAAAAACCTGAAATTTCCACTGTTATTTCTCATCATGTCACAGATTCAGAATCTGTAATATTGGACAGTAGATCAAATAATCTCTGATTATGGGGGAGTTGAAATATGAAAAAAAGAAGCTTCATGAAAAGTTCCATCTTAACAAGGTCATATTAACAAAGAAACTGATGATACAGAAGTCAACTAGGGATATTTTCTGAACCAAATGTAGCTGCAGGTCACAAAAATACGAAACTAAAAATACAGAATACTTGATTGCAAGAGTGGAAAAAAAGTTATTTTCTTTGAACATTTATAACTGATTCAGCAATAATCACAAGTTGCACCACAAAAGCTCAACATATTGGTCGACAGTCTGATCCAAGTAGAACAGAGCAACTGAGTTTCAAAATGGTTCTGTAAATATGCCTCAGAAATGTTTAAAACCCCACTTTGTAGCCTGGTGAAACAGAGTGAATGTGTGTACTATCTGGAGGAGGATTCTAGTTTGTGACTTTTAACCATGTTTATTCCTAATAAAGCATAAAGCATTGAATTTATTTAGATCCCACCAAACAGTTTCCACCATGATCATGAGAATAAATTTACCAGTGAAGTCTTGCTCACACAAGTACATCTGATTTCCATTAAACCTAAAAAGTTTGCACTCCCATTCTTTTAAAATCCTGTGCACATGTGTTTTATATAACGTCATGTTTGTCTCCATGTTCTTTTAATCATTTTTCTGGCTACAACTATTTCCATCAGTGTTCTGTGTTGAGCTACAGAAGTAAACCTGTCTGGGATTTACATTTTACTGTTGATTGTCTTTGCTGCTGTTTTAGTTCCATCATCTTTGTGTTCTCAGTGGTTTTAACTGATTGTAATCAATAAGCCAGGCTGCATTGTTGCTGGCATCACTTTTGCAGGTGATGCCAGCAACAGCACAGTCTGGCTTAATGATTACAATCTGAAACAAAGTACTGGTAATCTTCATCGTTTTTCAGGAGACCAGAAAGGTATTCCAGGTATCAAAATATTTGCGACGCTTGACCTGTACAGTTGACATGACGGCAGAGTGAAAACACCTCAGAGTGACTTGCAATTTTCACACATATTTGACTAATGTGTGACCTTAAACTGTAGCAGACCAGTGGAGTTTGGCCCTTTTAAAATCCAATATCCAGTTTTATGTTTTTGAATCTGTGTCAGGTACATATCTTATTAAAATGAAATCATCTGTCTGCTCCAGATAACTTTAATCTCTGTATATGTGGTCCACTTCATGATGACACAACACCTTGATGTTTCATTAACTGTCAACGATTAAAGAAAAATTCCAAAAAAGAATCCTAAGAAAAAACAAAAAACATAGATTGACTTAATCCAAAATCATTATTTCAAAAAGAAAACAACAAATTTTTCAACCATCTCTAATTTGTTTAAAAGTTTAGTTTCATGTATCAAATATTTTCCAAGACACCAACTCTGCTCTACCTGGATCTTTGTATCTACAAGTATTTTAGTTTTTATGGTACAATTTGTTGAACCTGCTAAATCTGATGTCAAACTTTTATGAAAATAACTTTTCATTTTTATGACCAAGTATTTCACATTAAAATATTTTTTATGTTTAGTTTTGTATAATTGTGACCTTTTTATTATTATTTCCTTTATTTAACCAGGTGGATTAATTGAGAACAAATTCTCATTTACAATAAGGACCTGGCCAAGGGGCAGCACAGAACAGAAAAGACCTGCAGCTACATGTGGTTCATGTGGATTA